CTCTCCGTCCGCATACCGGCCCGTGGTGCTGCTCGACGAGGTGGGCAAGCTCTTTGAAAGAGTCATTGCAAACCGCCTCGCCGAGCACCTTGCGGGGACGGGGCCGGATCTTGCGGAACACCAGTTTGGTTTCCGCAAGAGGCTCTCTACGGTGGACGCCATCATGCGCGTGAGAGCCCTCACGACGGGGGATGCAGTGGCCAGAGGGGGGTTGTCTTGGCGGTGTCTCTCGACATCGCCAACGCCTTCAACTCCATGCCCTGGAGCTGCATTAGGGAGGCACTCCGGTATCACCGGGTGCCGACCTATCTCCGTCGTATAGTCGGGGACTACCTGACAGACAGGGCCGTCATCTACCCCGGTCGCAACGGTGAGTGGAACCGGCGAGAGATGTCGTGCGGTGTCCCACAGGGTTCGGTTCTGGAGCCACCTCTGTGGAACATCGGTTACGACTGGGTGCTGCGCGCCGACCTTCCTACCGGCGTCAGCGTAGTTTGCTACGCTGACGACACGCTGGTACTGGCACAAGGGGGGGTCGTACGAGGCGGCGGCGGAAAATATGACACGCGGGGTTGCGATAGTCGTTGAGAGGATTCGGCAACTGGGTCTCGAGGTGGCTCTGCACAAGTCCGAGGCCATGCACTTCCATGGTCCTCGGAGCAGGCCACCACCGGGATCCTCAGTGATGGTAGGAGGGGTATCCATCGGCGTCGAGTCGACGCTGAAGTACCTAAGACTCGTCCTCGACGGCCGATGGAACTTCGTTGAGCACTTCCGACCTTTGGCTCCCAAACTGGAACGGACCGGGGCTGCCTTCAGGCGGCTCCTGCCGAACCTGGGAGGACCAAACGCCTCCTGTCGGAGGCTCTACGCGGGGATCGTGCGGTCCATGGCCCTTTACGGGGCCCCGGTGTGGGCGCGTGGTTTGGCGCGGCTTGCCGTCCACCACCTGAACGCGCCCCAAATGGTGATAGCCGTGAAAATGGTTCGCGGCTACCGCACGATCTCCCGCGAGGCGGCGAGCCTCCTTGCCGGATTGCCGCCATGGGATCTGGAGGCGATAGTCCTCGCGCGCCTGCACGAATGGCGTGCGGAGGCACAGTGCCGTGGGGAAACCCCGCTGCCGCGGCAAGTTGTCGCGCAGCGGACAGACTTCCGGCACGATCTCATGGCGACATGGAGACAGCGACTGTCGCAACCCCGTGCTGGGCACGCCACTATAGCGGCGATAAGACTCCTCTTTGAGGAGTGGCTTGAGAGACGCCACGGCATCCTCACCTTCCGCCTGACGCAGGTCCTCACCGGACACGGTGTGTTTGGGAGGTTCCTGCACCGAATCGGGCGGGAGGAAACGCCCGGGTGCTCCCACTGCGAGGATGGACCGGAGGACACAGTGGAACACACCGTGGAAGTGTGCCCTGCTTGGACGGAGCACCGCCGTGTCCTCGTAGCGGCGATAGGCGGCGGCGACCTCTCGCGTCCGGCCCTGGTCGAAGCCATGGTCCGGAGCGAGACAGAATGGGATGCCGTCACCACCTTCTGCGAAGCAGTGAAGCTAGCGAAGGAGGTGGCGGAGCGGGAGAAGGAGAGAGCAGCAGCTTTCCTCCCCGGCCGCCGCGGGAGACGCCCCGGGCGTCGGGGGCTACGTCGTGGCCCGTGGCCGGCGAGCAATGGGTAGCTCGTCGTCCGTTCGTCTAATGACGACAGGCCGTGTCGACGGCGCGTTTTGTTCCACGCGCGCCTCAAAGAGCTGTCAGCAGCGTGAAGGGTCCCGCAAGGGCCGACGCCTGCCGGGGCTGCGGGCTGTTTGAAAGAGATACCGCGGCTCCGGAACGTAAGGGCACTGAAGGAACACGGATGGTTTTTAGTCAGTAAAAGTCTGACACTCCCTTACGCTCCACCCAGAACGAAAAGGGTCATTAGATGATTTTCCATCCGCAAAAAAAAAAAAAGGCTTTGAACAAAATTAACTATCACTAGTTGTAGCTAAAGGCGTCGACCGATTTTTATCGAATGAAAGGACATTAGAATTACTTTTATTATGGCAGTTATCAGGCGTATGACCGATCTTTTCGCAAATACTACAAGAAGAACTTCTGTTATCAAAAAAATATTTATAACGTTTTTGAGGATTATTTTGGGATGCAACGGGACGCTTAACAAGAATGGATGAAGCAACGGATATCAATTCTGGCACCAAGGTGGCCCTAACATTCATTAAATCAATTCTAAGGCGTTCGTCAACCACGGTTCCGATAACGGCCTCTACAGCATCACTGTTTCCAAGTTTGTATTTCGTCACACGTCTCAATAGAAGCCATGCCCGAGATAATCTCTGCGATATCTAATATAATAAGAGTCGTAAACGTGTTCTCTAAATCTCAGTACGTCACGCGAGTAACGGCTTTCAGGATCGAAGGTGGTGGTAGTGTTTTGACGCAAATCTTCCCACGTAGAAATAGTCACTAGCCAGTTATCAGCCCACATTTTAGCACGTGCCTTCAAAAGATTAGTGACTTTTATTCGAATGTCATAATCACTGAGTTGATAGGTGTTTTTAGCCGAAGAAATGCGATTGCACCGCTCACGAACACCCACCTTGCCATCAGGGTTGCTAGAGGGTAGAAAGACTTCAGTTATCTTCATCTTTTCTGTTGACTGAGCGCCGAGTCACTCGCTCATAGAACGCATTATATTGACCATTTCCATAAAAATTCTTGTGGAATACCTTCGGGAGCTGCAGGCGCGCAAACCTTCACGTGATGCAAGTCGTTGAGGATTGCCGGCACATATGGATCGCACGTGCGATCCCACTTCTGATGTCGGAGCGGAAACCTCGGGGTTTTTTTTATGGTGAGGCAGCACCACTGTCCCCATTTGACAAGGGTTCAGTTGTGCTACCGTATATTGTTTCCATTGTAATGAAAGAGATCTAAGACCACACACTTTTCATTTTGCACAACATAAATTTATTCTACACTTCTTATTATGAAAACTCACAAATAATACTCACAAAGTTTTACCAGGAAAATAGAACTACACCGACGAGCGCAGGAACCGAAGTGAGTCTATTCCCGCGTTCATATAATAAGGGAAACGTAATAACGACTTAGTTGTGCTCTGATTGGGCAATACTTCACTAAACAATAACTTTTATTGAATGCATTAGGTTACTTTAGTAATTTCAATTACCAGGATTAATAATCATATGGAGAATTATTTATGCTACGATTTAAAACAATATTTGAGTTAAAAGTTAATAATCAAATAAATAGTTGTTTTAATAAGAATTATTTTTCAATAAAGAGATTTATAATATTAATAATTATACACTGTTGATTATTATAATTTGTAACAATTAAAAGACAATGCAAAGCTTAGGCTTCGTCAACAGAAGATGTCCCTGCGGCGAAATATATATATATATATATATATATATATATATATATATATATATATATATATATATATATATATATTTTTTATATTGTGCCCAATTCGTAGACTGATCATATCTTAAATTAGTCAGTTATTTCGTGAAATAGTGGTAGTAATTTAACACTGTTTGTTGACCACAATAGCATGTTTTAACACAAACAAATATTTTAGGAAATTAAACGCAACTTTATGCCTTATGCATATAATAAATAAATGTTCGCGGCTTTCCAGTCACACCCCAACCTTCTATCGCTGATATTAAGTACTAGATAGCATAGTTTCGGCTTTACTGATAAAATTCAACAATAAAGACTACTGAATACTTATTCGTTTAGAATTAAAACTTTAATTAGATATCCACACAGAATCTTTTACGACAAATGTAGCCGAGCAATCTAATTTTCTGATGGTTTCTCTATTGCTACATACAAACGTAGGATTCAATTAGCATGCGTTAGCCAACGAGCTTGAGATTGTGTAGAAAAGAAAGTGATGATGAGGTACACAACTAGAGAGACCTGTTTGTTAGATTTTCTGGAAAAGAACTTGATTGTACCGCGTAGACGATTTCGTGCAAGTACTTTTGATCTGTGCCCAAATCTGGGGCCATTTTTGTGAGTCATTCTGCTTTTTGAATTTCTTAACCGGCATTTGTTCACAAGTTTCCGGTATCTTTCTCAATGACCAGTGTAAGACTTGAGTCCCGAATGGCGTCCGTTAATATGTAAAAGCAAATGTCTTAATGTCGGCCTATTCATATGCAGTAAACAAATAATCCGTTGGAGGGACCTTTGTAGCCTTTTTTAAGGAGTCGTATTCCACCGTACTATTCAGAATAAACATTAGTCCTAGCCATCAACCTATTGCTACAAGATGTTCTAGGGACTGCTAAGAACCGTCTGTAATTGCTGATTCTACTGCTTTCACCGAACCAGTACTGGGTACTATATAACTCATGTGGATAGAACCCGAATCCTGAATTACGGAAATCTGCTCTTAACCCATATATGCCCAGAACTATTTTTGAATTCTGATTTTGATTAGTTCAAGATATGTTTATGCTGATAAGTTCTTATATCAGTATTGACTAATTTTAGTAAAAAATATTTTTGGTAAGTAGGTATTTTAGGGGTGTTCGAAAACGAAACAACGGGCAAATATCCTACATTCGTTATAGGTAATTAAAACAAAGATGTATAATGAGATTATTTATTACTTATTACTATTTTTAAACTAAATTGCAATATAAAATTAAGAATGAAATACAGAGAAACATTTAGAATGTAAATTTAGTTTACATTTTTGACAAAAAGTGATTGTAAGGCTTTTGCAATAGGCACATCGCAGTCTACTTGGTGCCCTGCCGATCATGTGCTCAGCATTATGCTTTCGTACTGATGTAGGTACATTTGTAGATACCCGTTTGCTAGGTCCCGGATGCTGCTTATCATTGCCATATTTTTGAAGTAAGGTTCTGATAATGCTACGTCTAAATTCCAGCGTATCTATATCTTTGGAGAAATTACGAGCTAGTAGGGTAGCATTGTTGACCACAACGTCTATCAACTAGAAAAGTAACGGGATATACCATTTTTGCCCCTAATTCCTATTCGATAGGTACCAATGTTTGCATCTAACCGATCAACCCCTCCCATAAAACGATTGTATTGGTGCACAACGTTGGGTTGTGGTACATTTACTCTTTGCTTTTGAGCAGCTGAGTATCTCCTTGCAGTTCGTATAGGCTCCACGCCGTATTCACTGGATAACAGAGTGACTACACTATTATCGTTCCAGCGCACTGCACAGATGCCGCTGTTTAGATCGAGCCGGCTGTCATGGTAACCTCGCTGTTCCTTCTTGCATAATTTTTCATCTTTCAAAGGACACTTGTCAGTGCGATTACTACGTACTGTACCTGTCACTAAAATATTTTTTTCTTTCATTCCGTTATCAACGGTAATCCTGTGAAGAAGTTGTCGCAGAAAACTGAGAATCTTGTTTCTTTGTAGACATTCTGAATCTCGGTCATCAATTTTTGCACAACATATTGTCCTAACCCGGTACTAAAAGTTTCATAGCGGCCTTGATATGGGTCGGCGTATAAGCAATATCCTAAGGGCAAGGCTGCAATCCATGTTTTGAAGCCAAATCTAATAGGCTTACCTCTGATATGCTGCTTACATCCGTGTCTACCATAGTAAGGTATCATAGACTCGTCTATGCTGATGTTCTTTTCGATTACGGCATATTGCAGAAACTTTTTATTGAGTAAATCAAAAAGTGGGCGGACTTTAGCCATTTTCTCATTAAGGCAAAGGTTGGTATTATCGACCACATGGAAATGCCGAAGAATTTTTTCGAATCGGTTTCTTCGCATGGATTTCGCCACTAAGATATTGTGTGTGTCTTCGTTACTTTCCCAATACATCCGACGTCGCGGCAGTGGAGAATATCCGGTCAATATCATAATGCCGATGAAACAATAAATGTCATTATCAGAGAGGGTAAACCCTGGGTTTCCTTTTTGAACTGCATAAATAACAGAGTGACGAACAATGCGCATGATAACTTCGTGACTAAAAAACAATTCAAAGAAATCAACTGGTTCTGAAGCTTCGGATAAGGTAATTACTGATCTAGGTAATGGTGCAATCCACTCATCATGAAGTTGGGACAAGTCTCGTTTTACCCATTTTCGGACTACCTTAGGCGATCGAGGTGGCGATGAAGGTGGAAAAGGAGAATTATCTATCAATGACCGGCTCCGCCTATGAACTGATAGACTGTGAGTCAGTCACAGTACGTGACGTAATTGGGCCTAAAGCTTCTTCTTCAGACTCACTGCCGTCACTGACGTTTTTTCCATGTAGTGTCAGTTCAGCAGGTGCCAAAAGTTGACGACGTGATAAATTTTCAAAACTTACGTTTCTTTCGTCCCCCGAGTCCGAATCTGACACAAGTCCATCACCCGGAGGGTCGATATAAATGTCAGCTGCTGTTGCTTCATCATCCGAAGCTAAATCATTGATAATATCAACGATTTCATTTGTAGTTAACCACGTATTCCACCTAAAACATAAAAACAGATTTAGTAAAAGTCTCACCTGTATATTTGCCCAACGTATCGTTTTCGAAACACGAAAGTTATAAAGACGTTATAGGTATTTATTAAATAGTATTCACTTATTTTAAAAATACAAATAAGATCATTACTTACCTAAAATTACTACAAAATTTTGAAAAGTACAAAGTTTCACTCAATTGAACAAGTACTTGCTTCTTTTTGGGAGACGACATGATTTTTGCGCGACGTAAAACAGGACACAACTTGCACTACTGACTATTTAAATCAAGTGTCAACGCTACTCAAAACGCTTCGTTGCAAACAAAAGGTAGTTCCGTAGCCTTGCACTAGATGGCAATTTTTTGCATTTTACTGCGCTAGCAAAGGATTTCCAATGGATTTACGAAAGTACAAAATCTTGTTTCGTTTTCGAATCACGGGGCATATATGGGTTAAGCAGTAATTTTTCTGTAACAATTATTACCTTTTTTTCAAAAACTATCCAATTTCTCTGAAGAGAGTTTCTTAATAGACTTGAATAAATTTTTAAATTTTAAGGGGTAGGCTTTTAACATTTGTTTAACTCCTGTTCTAGTTACGGTCGGAACGGACACAGTTAGCCAGAAACTTTCAACTCTAGGTGCCATAATATCTCCTATTTATGGAAATTTTGGCTCTTTCACAATTTCCAATTGCAATTTTAGTTGATATCTGCTCCACTCGTAGTACTTCGTCACATCTTCGTACGTTGGTAAAGTGTTCTCTTTAATATCTTGGATATCACCAAAAATGGACACTTGAATCCACTAAACGTTCTTTCCATGCTTCAAACAACCAAGAAATATTGTGAAATTTTAGCTATTCACGCGAACTTTCACATTGAAAATCAATAGCATACTGATAGTGACACGATAAATGCGCGACAAGTTATCTCCCGCATGCGTGCCAAAATTAGTTCCTGCGCACGCCATCACGACCTTGATTTGAAGTAAGTTTATGTAAAAACATGGTTTTTTATTGATTTATAATGAAAATAAACTATATTTTAAACTAAAAATAAAACAAATATTACAATTTATTTAATAATAGCATATTTACGAGTACATAGCGTCAATGGGTTGAAATTTATGTTTTATAAAATTTCAATGACCTTGCGGAGGCAGTTACTCTGAATCAATGCAAATAATATTTTGTATGAGTTAATTTGATTCCTAAAGGCACCTTTTGCGCACTATTATATTATGATAAGATGAAAAAAATTCGCTCCACCCTAATGCAAATATATATATATATATATATATATATATATATATATATATATATATATATATATATATATATATATATCAAGGTGATAAGCTATAATAAGATCAAGCTTGATGTGACACAAATGTAAGAGTAACTGCGACGGAAATTAAACAATCAGTATGAGAAAGGTCTTATGAGATAGCTATAACTTACAATGGCAGATGAGAAATTGGCGAAAACTTTCTTAGATAGTTCTGTAGTAACATTTAATTACAATAGAAATTAATTTCTTATATTTATCTAATCTACAATAAAATATTTACGTAAAATCATTCAGAGAATTTCTCCACGGTTATGAAACTTGCGTCATATTGATATAAACAAGAACATTTTTTTAAACTGTACTGCACTATAGACTTATTTTTTTTAATTCATCACCAGCTCTTTAAGCACATAAATTTAATTTTCAAAAGCAATTTTCCACAATTTGTAACAAAGCTCTTAACAAACTTGCTAACATTGGTATTGTGTATATTGGGGTGTTAACATAATATGAATAAAACAAAAGCTTGAGGTATCTTATTCAGGCCCATGGTGCTTTAAATATTAATATTCAAATAAGATACCATTTTGAGGTGTGTTCAAATTTAAATCGGGAGGGTGGAAAGTTTTATTTTTATTTTTTATTTTTGTTATAAAAGAACAAAATATTTTTATTACAGATACATAATAATAATAATAAAGATAATTATTTTTGGTTTACGTTAGTATGTCCACTTATCATCATATCGTTCAAAGCTTAAATCATAGATTACTGACTATGTACTAGAGAACTTAAATGGTTACCTGTACGTCAACGGAATTTTACTTGTTATTTATTCAATTTTAAACGATCCAAGGTTATCTTCTTATATTAAGGATGATTTTCATATTTTCATTCGAGAAATTTTTGCATTCAATTTCTTCTTTTTTTAGCTTCAAATATTTATTTCATTATATATTATCCATTCGTTATATCGTATTATATGTGTGTATGTATTATTCTGTGTATATTTATGCTATAGAGGATATCCCAGAAAGAATGGATAATCCTGGAGTCTAATAGCGCAGGTATCCGGCGCTAAAATAAAAATACAAAAAGAATATTCCAAGTGGTGCCAAAAATATGAAGGTTTTAAAAAATATGTTTTTATTGACTTTCATGTACTTTCATGTACACCACAGTCGTAAATTAATGAAATTCGTTGCGTTTTTGGTGTTCTCTTATTACTCACAGACTATTCTATTAGAAACATAGTAAAGAGTACGAGTATCTATTGTAATATATTAATCTGCGAAAAGAAACTTCAATTTTTAGCACGAAAATTTATAAAAAAAATAACTTTGACAAAAGTTTGAGAGCCATTCGTGAAAAAAAGTATGAAGACCTAAGTGGCAAATTTTTTCAAAAATAAGCACAGTTATTACAGTTTACAAAATGGTATAATACATAATTTTATCCAAAGATAGAAAATTACGACGAAAATTATAAGGGCATTCTTGAGTGAAAGAGTCCTTTTTATTGTAGTAAAGACCGTATAATATCCATATTTACTACCTGAGTGTGTCCCACGCTACTCATATTTTGTTTATTACGATTTACGGGACAGGGTAGGTAGAGTGTGAGTGAGCGAGATAAGAGTATAATGTTAATACATTGTACCTTTTCTGCGCGACTGGGCACATGACAAAGGCAAGTATTTAGTGCGTCTCTCGATGCATTATTTTGGACTTCTCTGTGATTTTAAAATCAGTGTCATAACGACGACTCCTGGCTATTTCATTTGACTCTTAGATTTTCTTCGTGATTTGGACTTCGTTTGGAAATTTTACAACTATTTGGACTTATATTGTGTATCCAGATGCCACGTATTCAAAATACGGCACTAGAATACGCAAACATGCACTTCATTTATGACGAATGCAGAAGCAACGCAAGTACTGCTGCAACCCTTTATAGGAAAAGATACGCTACCGCTCGTCATCCAGATTACCGCGTTTTCATCAGAGTCCACAGGTGTTATTCGGAAGGCAGAATACCTAGCAGCGGCATTGTTGGTATGAGCATTGAGAGACTAGCTAATATCAGTGCACAAGACATTTTGCTTAACGAAATTGAGCAAGACCCGTCCACCTTTACAAAAGTAACGAAAATGACCGTGCACCGTGTACTGAAAAAAGATTTCATCCCTCCATCCTTTATTTTAATCCATTAGGCGCGTCCAAATTCTACAACCGAGAGCTTACAACGCAGGATTGTTTTATTTGTCGACAAATGCTTGCAAAAATAGAACAAGATCCACAATTCTTCGACAAAATTCTGTGGAGCGATGAATTCGATTTTAAAAAAGACGGATACTTCAATATGCATAATCTGAACAGATGGCAACTCTCAAATCCAACCACGAATGACACTATATGTGTGTGACTGGCGTGATGTGTCAATTGGCGTCCCTCAAGGCGGTGTTATCTCTCCTCTTCTGTTTTCCACAAGAAGTTGTTCACACTAAATCTCAAGAGCTCTTAGCAAGTGGAACCTTCAAATATCCTAAAAATACCAAAGCTCAAGATTATTATCTAAACTAGATATTCCCATCCTACCATCAATTATGTTTAATAATAATGTCATACCATTATCTACTAATGTAAAGAACCTTGGTCTGTATAGCGATGGTTGCTTAACATGGAACAAACATATACAGGAGGCGAGTCGCAAAACTACTGGAACTTTGCGATCTCTATATCGGTTTAAAAACTTTCTTCCTACCAATACCAAGATTTTACTTGTCCAATCACTTATTGTACCGATTATTGATTATGTCGATGTGTGTTGCTCAGACCTGTCTCATCTTTATCTTAATACATTAGATCGTCTGCTTAACAACTACATCAGATACATTTATGGTCTTCGTAAATACGACCATGTATCTTCCTTTCGTACACAGCTAAACTGGCTGCCTATCCGTCAGCGCAGATATGTTAGAATACTCTGCACCCTTTTTATAATTTTGAACGAGCCATGTGCTCCCGAGTATCTGAAATCTAAATTTCAATACCTGGGAGATTCTTATAATTTTTCTCTCCGTTCCTCGGCCAATCTTAAGTTGCTTACTCCTTTACACCATACTGGTTATTTATCTCACTCTTTTGCCCTCACGGCCATCAGACTCTGGAACGACATCCCTCTTGACATTAAAAAAGCTCCCAACTAATTCGTTTTTAAAAATCAAGTCCGTAAGTCGATGATTAAATCGTTGCAAGTTTGAAATAACACAGCTCTTTTTTTTCGTATATATTTCACATATTTGTTCTGACATAGATAATATTAATATGTACCTATTGTATATATATATATATATATATATATATATATATATATATATATATATATATATATATATATATATATATATATTTTTATTTTATCCTCTCTATTTGATTATTGCTGCACCGCCTCCAAAATGTCTATCTCTGTTTAGCCTAATGGTTGACTGGGAGAGAATGCCCTATGGCACTAAATTAAGTCCGCCATATGTACTACTTTGTGCATAAAAGCATAAATAAATATATGAGGCTGTATGAATGTATGAAACCTACCAAATAAAAAATAAGCAAGGTAATAACTACCAATTAAACACGTGGTAAAATAAAATGTTTTGTACAACCGACTCGAATATAAATAAAAGGAAATATGCATTATTAAGGATAACTCAAAAACTACCGGTCAGATCTTAATCAAATGTAAAAGGGACTTGATCAAATTTATACTTTCAAATAAAAAAAGAATTATAAAAAACGGTTCGCCTAGAAAGAAGTTCCGAAATACACATAAAAAAACATACAGTCGAATTGAGTATTTCCGCATCGCGGAATAGATATTCTCGCCTTAGATATTCACAAAAATTATTCTATAAACTATTCAAACTTAAAAATACTTAGATAGGTA